CCCCAAAACCCCAAAACCCCAAAACCCCAAAACCCCAATAAAAATTTGTGTGAATGAGATGTGATTAGTTATCAATAAATTGAATGGGATTTACCTGGCGATTGATTGAGAAAGAGAATGCATAATTAATATCTGATTAAAAGATATAAAGTATTTAAGTTTATTTAAGACAAAACTTTGCATTCTAAAAATTGTGTAAAATGGCTCTAGGCAAGAAATCATCAACTAAAATGAATAACAAACAGCTCTCTAAAGGCTCTTTCGGGAGGTAAAACAGCATAGATTTTATAGAGGATCTGCCAAGGCTTCAGAGTTCTGGGTCTTTGAAGAAGCGTGACTCAAAGAGGTACTCTAAGAACGACCCTGAAGATCAAGCTCGCCTTTTGGAATACTATAATGATTTGAAGACTATTCAAGAAAACAAAGAACTGCCAAGCCGTCAAGTATATTTGAGGAGAATCGGGTTGAATCTTGTTAAATGCAGAGAAGACCTATACAAGTTCCCTATCCTGCAGTCAATCGAGGAGACCTCAAAGATAATGCTAATGAATGAATTCGAACTCTTGTATTGGTACGATTTAATGCGCACTTACCTCAATAATTTGAAAATCGCTAAGTTTACCCAGGAATCAGTCCGACTCTTCTTCTTTTTAAGCGCCATGTTTGTCAAGCGATTCCTCTATTAACAGTAAATGCAATATGCCTTTCCAGAGGAGAATATGAATCGATTCAAATACCAAATTGAAAGCGTAGAAGCCTATATTAAAGCTTACCATTACTCTAATTTTGACTCTGTTTACAAATAATTCGATAGGCAAGAGATGATTTTGCTCGATCCTCAATTCAGAGAATCAGGAGCGGAATAAATTAAGACCTAAATGAATCACAGCTATGAAAGTTTCAGCTATCTATCAAATATATCAACCAGAAGAATCTAAGAGTTGTTTAATGAGCTAAGATAGCCATTTGAGACTGATAATAAAATAAATATAATCGATTATAACTGGCACGTAGATGGTATTCTTAAAAATTCCTAGTCCTATAACAAAGAGAATGCTGACAAAAAGGAGAATCCAACAGCTAAAAAGATAACACACGAGGATCAACTGTAGATACAAGTCAAGAATAGCTTATAAAACTAAGGAGTCTAGATAAGGCCTAGTCAACAGAATCTACTGCCTGGTAGTAACCCTCCCTAACAACTAAACAATCCATAATTGATCAAAAGAAGGTCAAATAGAGATAAAAATTTTCATAATAACATCAGTGCCACATCAAGTCTTCCCTTAGGCCATCACGATTCCTTCTTGAATTAACAGATTGATTAACAAACAATTTAATAGCTCTACTAAGGCTATTAAAACTATCCAATTGCAAGAGGTTTGTCAAACTATCCAGGGCTTTCAAGCATTCCATCTATTCCTTATTTTTCTGCTAAAGATTCTCAATTTTATCCTTCTGAGAACCAAATCTAATAATTCATGAGCCATGGTGGACTCTAGAGGAATTCAAGCATAAGAAGCACTCGATCAAGGTAAGATGAAGATGAAATGTATAAAATAGGCATGACTGGTTTAGCGTCTCAAAATCCTTCACTCAAAAAACCCATCGGCATCAAGCCAATGGTAGGAAATCACTCAAGCACAAACAATCTGACTGATCTGCAAAGAAATGCCAGTAAAAATGCAATAGGAGGTGAATTTGATAACAAATCTATTTCTTTCTCTGCTGCATAGATTTAGAATCTGCATGAGACCTTAAAAAATCTGAAATACGATGATGACCTCTAAAGTCCATCATTGTTCGGAGGGATAGATAGGCAGCAATCTGCCTCACAATTTTTAATAGGAGGAGATATGGGAGGTATGCCTCCTAATCTAGGTCTAAACAAATCTAATTCTTTTTTGAATAACTGGAGTGGGTAGAATAACTTTATTCTTAACAGAGAAGCTTCAGCATTCTAAACACTTAGAGTGAAGGATGAAAAGTAGGGCAGCGAAACTCAGAGACCTTCACCAGAGCTTAAACTAGATAAGAATTTTGGATCATATGTAAAGCATGAGCATGCAAGATATGAAGATAAAACCCAAGCGAACGGCAGGAGAAGATGATAGACATATCTGAGTAGCACATTGCTGACAGGGATTAATCATTTTTCTCTTTATTTCATGATAAATACTTAAATTTTGAATAATCTTAGCTAAATTATATTTGATTACTAAATTCAAATTACTATGAAATTGATCAATTTTCTATTTTGGGGTTTTGGGGTTTTGGGGTTTGGGGG